TGATGGCATCTTCTACTCTCTTGGCTCCGGCTCATTTGTTGGTGATTTGATCTTTTGCTTCTTCCCAGCTTCTCCCCTGAACCCCGAACCCCGAACACCGAACCCCGAACCTCAGGCCCCAACCCCAGGTCCAGAGAGTTGGCTTCAATGATTTCTATAAAAGTAAAGGAAAACCCGAACCGAACTGAACCATTCCAGACATAAGAATGAACATAATCATCATTATGATAATTATCATTCAGTTTGACTGGGAGGAGGAGAATCCATGAGATACATGTGCACTGAGAAGAATTGGTGTAACTTTAAATCCTTAGATACATATTTTATTCCAGATCTAAAAAACTAAACTCAAGAGAGATGCAACTTGATTTTAGTATAAAATATCATTTCTTTTTAGATATTTCCTTAATTTTCAATCAATTTACTCAGTGTACAGTGGTGTTATTAGGCAGCTGTGTGTGTGTACGCTTTCATTAACACACACTCTGGCTATTTGCGAGTGTGCGTGAGCCCTTTGCCACATGTGCTGCTCATTTGCTTTGAAAACTATTAGCTGTTGCTGCTGCTGATGTTGCTGATGTTGCTGCTGCTGCTGCTGCTGTCGCTGTGCCTGCAACATATGGTCGGTTGGGCATTTAAATAGTTTAATGATCTGTGCTCTGTGACTCGGTTTCTTGGTGTTGGTTTCGTGGCAGCATCATCCCAACATCAGCCTCAAAACGAATCCCGTTCCCGTTCTCAACTTTCTGCTGCTGCTGTTGTTGTTTTCTTCTTCATTTTTTTTTCCCCCGAGTTGAGTTTGCCTGCAGTCATTAGCGTTTCCTGTGTAGGTTTTTCATCTGTCGCTCTCCGCATTTTATTTATCTACTCATGTGTGTCGGAGGCTGTCTTTGGAGTGAGTGTATATCCGCACATATTTTTAGCAGAGTCTCAAAAATTATATTTGTTTAAGGAAAGACAGGATCAAAAATTGATCAAAAGGAAATCAAAATCAAATCAAAAAGGGAACTGAAAAATTTGAAAAACAAACAGTGTATTTCATTCAAAATAGGCTTGAACTTTAAATAAAATTTAAAATGTATACTAAATATAGTTTCTAGTCCTAGAATATTTATGTGGGCATATTTAAAACTAAATTGGATTGATATTTATTGATATTTTTATATGACTATTTTTTTTTATTAATCCAAATTTTCAAAAACGCATAACTAAGCTAAAAATGCATTAATTTTATTTCGAAATACGTTCCTATGATAGTTTTTATTAGCTTAATAAATCTGCATACTAAATTTCAAACTGTAGGAAATTTAATTTTTTGTACATTTTTGAAAATTTTAACGATTTATGATTTTTTCAAATTTGTAAAAATTTTCAAAAATTTATTTTTTGGTCGAAGATGCCTAGATCAATTTGGATTTTGATGCTGATCAAAAATATATATATGATTTAAAGGGTCGGGAATGACTTTTTCTAAAGTTATAAGCTTCAAATTAAAAATATAATACCCCTGGAAAGGTTATAAAAATAAAGAATAAATTTACCTATAAATGACTAAAATGTGTTGCTCGGCCAGAACTTGACACATAATCGTTGCTAATGGGAGCAAAAAACTTAATAAATTAAAAAAAAGAATATATATATATGAATCTTAAACACTTTTTACACATCATTAATTTGAAAGCACGAACTCCAGATATGATACCGAATATATAGTACTGCTGACAGAACCAAAAAAGCTTTAAGAAATAAAATTAAAACGAGCTCAGCACTAAATTTGACTTAAAAAAAATCAAGCTAAAGTAGGCTTAAATTTAAGAGAATTTAAAAGAAACTAGAGTCAAGGAAACCTTTAATATAAATAAGCTTAAAATTGTTATTTGTGTGAAACCCTTAATTTATGTTCCATTACTTTTGTTATTAACAATTTAATTGGGTCATCTGCTGGGCAATAACTTTTATTTAATTCATTTGACAATTGAAAACGGTAAATGGGCAAAAATAAAAATAAAAAGCATTATTAACCAGAATGGCAGGCAGGCGGCAGACCAAACAAAAAAATAAAATAAAAACCTGTTTGCATTTGATTTTTGCCCAGAGTTTATTTTTGTATAAATATAAAAAAAAAACGCTTCGCTTTGCTGTCTCTGTCTGCCTTAAATAATTTTATTTAAATCGCAACTGGCAGTGACACTTGTTTGTGCAAACAAGCAAACAAACAAACGCAAACCAACAAAGGCGAATCTTTCGTTGGCTTTTTTTTCTGTTTTTGAGTTTGAATGAATTAGCCAACGTTATTTTTTTAGATTTTTTGTTTAGGGGACAAAAACCTATAGCAACCCCACTCACACTTATTAATGAAAACGCTTCAAATGCCACATTTCACATTTCGTGCGCCATTGAATCACACTCACTCGGCTGCTGCCAAAGCGAAATAATTTATTTTACTTATTTTTTATTCAAGCGATTTGGCATCACAGCGCGAAGCCTCGCCAAGGTCAAAGTTTGCCGGCGAAAAAAAAAGAAAGAATTTTAGCGCAATTAAAAATAAGCGAGAAAATACAAACAAAAAAAGCTAAACATACAACAAAATCGCTTTCAAATTACGTACTTTGTTGTTGTATTCTATCTGTGCCCAATTAATTTAAGAATGAAATCGAAAACTTGGCATTATTTTTCACAAAAGAATGAAGGGGGAAAAAACTGTTTATTTATTTTTGAAACACATATTTATTTCGATATTTCTTGAGCAATTTATGGGGCAATTAGAATATGTTTTTTATGGCCATCTTATAATGGGAATTTTACTGGAGTTGTATAGATAATAAAAATATTAAGCAAACCTTAACATTTATATTTCAATTAGATAAGCAACATCAAAGCTATTGCTTTTGATAATTCATTCTTTAAGACAAAATCGCCAAATAGTTTATGATATTTTTTTGTATATCGAAAAGAAGACGAAATGACGCTTACAGATTCCCTCGAAGATCTCAAAGATTGCCAAATATCTGAGAAGGAGAGGCGAGATTTTCTTTTTATTTTCTTATTGGCAATCAGTGGCGATCTGCTGCTGACGATCCCCCAGATCCTCATCTCTATATAGCAATTTTTTTGGGACCCCGACCAACGTGTGTTTTCGTTGATTTTCTATTTTGTTTTTCTCAATTGTGATCATTCTCGAAAATTGTTTTTGAGTACCGGACATGACGTCAATAAGTGGGCGTTTGTGTTAATTTTTATACCCCCCGAAAAACACACACTTAACCCACTCGCATACCTATATACATAGCTCTCTCCCCTCTCTCTGTTTAATCGTGAATATATACAATATATAGGAGAAATACAGAACGTAGTTGTATTTATTTTTTTATTTCGGGGCGTCGAAATTTTCGTTTGGCGCTAAAAACAATTTTTATGCCGCACAATAATACCAATAATAATAATAATAATTCGTTTTTGGGCCTTTTTTATCGAGCTCTGTTTTTTTATTACTAATTTTTTATGGCTATGCCATTTATTAATTTCCTGTATTTCCTTATTTGCCGGGGCCTAACTTTAATTATGTGTAAACAAATATATTTATCTAAAATGGGGAAAGGGGATGCCGCATCGCATCGCATTACTCATACGCCGCGTTGTCCGCTGGGAAGTGAGATTAACTCGGGCGATGCATAGCCATAAATCTGAAAGAACATGCCATTAAAAAAATACAGTTATTTTGCCATAAAAATATATGTATGTATTTGCAATCGCGATCGTGCCATAATTACCAAAAATGATCATCAGGCGAAATATGTGTACCCCCCCAGTCAAAGTTCAATTCCTTTCCTTTTATTCTCAGATTCTCAATTCTCTCAGCTTTATAATAATTTCTTTTTGATTTCATCAAATCAAATGAAATAATTATGAATTTGCACATACTATATACTATATAGATTTTTATGGCGGAGCGGAAATAAACGATTTGTGGAGGGGTACGACTTGAGGGGGGAAAATTTCAACAATGAGTGCGATAGATAGGAGGGGTGAAAGCAATTATAGCAGATAATGGGGGTTAACAGTGTCGGTGGATTTGTTTGCATTTGATTTTGTTTTTTCTTTTTCTTATTTTTGGGATCCAAAAGCCCCAAGACTACAGAGCATAGTGTAGCATAAATAAGCAATTTGATCTTTAACATTTGGCTGGCAAGCCCAAGCCCAGTTTCCCTAGAAAAGCAACCCGTCCCCGTTGAGTTGCTTCACTTCGAGTGAACTCGAACTCGAAACAAAACATTATGAACCGAAATAATAATAATAATCATAAAAAATAAGAAACAGAAAACTTATGTGTGTATGATGTTTACATTAAAGTCAAGCCGAAAAAAACAAAAACCCTCATGTAGAAGTCTTTATCTGTACATATAAATATGACGACGACCTTCTGCTGGGCGTTGACCAATTTTCGCGGCTCTCCTCTAGCCGCGGAATTAATTACAAACATTAAATATGAGAGGGGGCAGGGGGAAAAAAGTATTTAAAAGCGAGCCCGGCAACCAGAAAAGTTCACTTCTGGCCATTTAATCCAAACAAAAGCATCGCTTCGCTTGCTCTGGAACGAGTACGGGCTACCCAGGGTTACCCCAGATCCCTCCCTGATATACATACCCTCTCTTTCTCTATGCTGGGGTACTTTGGACCCAGAGGCACGACCTCGTGCCAAACTATTTTCATCTCCCGCTTCCCGCTTTCAGCTTGCAGCTTATTTATTTAAGCGTTTTTATCCATAAGCATTGGCTTGGGAACCCATCTACGTGCCATTTTGATGCAAAAGCAATTCCATGGCCTTCTTGCATTTTCCGCTGGATTTTAGACAAGATTTTCCAGCTAAAAACAAACTGGAATGGAATCTAAATATAGAAAATGAAGGGAAATCTAGAGGTTAACTAAGCAATATTTCTATTTATAATTTATAGATTTTATTTAACAGCTTACTAATGTATATTTATCCTTTTTTGTTACAGAAAGCAATCGTCGCTGTCTGGATCTGCGGTGGCACTGCAAAAGGATGAAGGCACATCGAGCTGAATCCGGGCGCAGCAGTTATCATCGAAGGCATTGAGGATATAGGATACAATCGACCAGAGATCCTCGAGGTGGAGGAGCGAAGTGGAGTGGAGAGGAGCGAGGAGGAGTGGAGTGGAGTGGAGCGAGGAGTGTAGCTGGGGGAGAATTGGTTACAACACTACATGGATCGCAGAAATGGCGGCGATCCCTTGGCGCCACCCCGGCCCCCGAAGCTTTTACCGCGCGTGCATCGACCAAGGGCGCCGGAGCCGACATTGAGTGGTGCCGAGTCGGGATCAGCAGCAGTAGGACTAGGACTAGGACTAGGACTAGGACACAATAATAATTCACAGCAGCAACAACTTAGTATTAGCGCGACAAGCAACCTTAGCAGCAGCAGCAACATCAGCAACATCAGCAACATCAGCAACATCAACAACAACAACAATACGATATCGATAATACCCGCTTCCGCATCCGGTTCGGATTTTGACGACTATCAAATCCACCATCTTACCTTCCTGCCTCAAAGGCCCAGCAGCCTGAGCAGGAACAGCAGCACCGCCAGCTCGACGACAACAACGACGACGGCAGCAACAACGATATCGGGTTCCGGTTCCGGTTCGGGTTCATCCTTTACGCGAAGGAGACCGCTGCCGCCGGCACCATTGCCGACCAGCACCGGCTCCGGCACTAGCAACACCACCACAACCAACAACATCAACATCAACAACAACCACAACAACAATAACAACAACTTCCTTAGTCATTTCCAAAGCGCTGAGGCCGCTCTGGGCCAACCGCCCGTCGGTGGCAACTCACCCGTCACGCTGGCGCAACCGCGACCCGAGTCCGAACGGCTAACCAACGAGTATGTGGACACGCCGCTGCAGCATGCGACGCGATCGCAGCATCCGGCTGGTCAGCAGGATAATGGACAGACCACCACCCACCATTTGTTGTTGCTGCCGCAAAGGAATCAGCATCTACACCAGCATCAGCAGCACCTGCAACAGCAGCAGCACCTGCTACAGCAACAGCAACAGCAGTTGCAACAGCAACAACAGTTGCAGCAGCAGCAGCAACATGCGCGACTGGCGACGACGACGACGCAGGCGACGTCCGCTGGCAGCGATCACACCGATGGCTTACTACATTCGCACCTGCAATCCAGCAAAGCATCCACCACACCCGCCTCGAAGCAGCAGCAGCAGCAGCAACAGCAGCAGCAGCAGCCAGCACCAGCGAGACTTGGTCTCGGCCTGGGACTGAATCTGAATCTGGCCCAGCCAGCGATCATTACCAAGCAACCCACGCCCGCCACACAAAAGGAGCATATGCATGCCCTGGAGGAGCTCCTGGGCGGTGGCGGTGTCGTTGGCGGTGGTGCAGGTGGAGCATCCGGGACCAATGGTCCGATTGTGATGAGCGGTGATCCCTCGCTGCTCAATCCGATTGTGTGCCCGCGTTGCGGTCGTTGCCGGTGCGAGACATGCCAGAGTCCGAGGCCCCTGCCCCAGACATGGGTGTGCAACAAGACGTGCCTGTGCAGTGCCGAGTCCGTCATTGACTATGCCTCCTGTCTGTGCTGCGCCAAGGCCCTGTTCTATCACTGTGCCCGGGACAATGATCTGGACTGCGATGACGGCAATGGAACGCCCTGCGTGGACAATCCCTGCTCCTGTGGTCCATACAAGCGGACGCAACGATGGGGCTGGCTGGGAGCATTGTCCATCTTCCTGCCCTGCCTGTGGTTCTACTGGCCGATGCGGGGTTGCATGAAGCTGTGCGAGAAATGCTACGGCAGGTTCGCCGGCAGAGGATGCCGCTGTCAGGGTGTGGGCAATGGGATTGGATCCACCAGCAGCATGTTGCCCATTGTCCCGCTGGGAGTGAATGGTAGCAATGGGATCGGAGGCGTTGGCATCGGAGGCGTGGGCGGTGTGAGCCTGTCCAGCGGGGGTCCCGTAAATGGGGGTCAGGCGGCGCTCGGCCAGGTGAATGGCAAGGCCATCGATCATGGCTGCAGTGCGGCGAGCCGCATCCTGCGGAAGGGTGACCTTACGCCGGAGAAGCGCCTGCTGGACTCCAGTCCCGACTACTAAGACGCATGGCATTTTGTGGGGCTGCTTTTCCACGTTGAGGAAAAGCGGCATTGCACAAATGGAAACAGAAAACAGAACAAATCCGAAGGCTGGAATCTAGAGAAAGGCGTGAAAATATAACCATATATATATATATATATATATATATATACAACAAATTATTTAATATATGTTTTAAAAGGATATAAAACGGAGAAAACAAGAAAAGAGGAAAGAGAAAAGAGAAAAGAAAGAAAGAAAAATTAAATAACCAAAGACTGCAAACAGATAATTATTAATTATTAGAAATGTTATTTAAAAAATAATTTTTGCTTAAAAGAAGAGAGAAAAGAAAACGAGGATGACGACAAAGTGGAACAAAGTAAAAAACGAACGCGATTAGAAATTATTTTTCGAAGGATTTTTTATTTGTATTATTTGTGAGTTCTTCAACGAAATATGCATATTTTGTTTTTTATAATAATAATAAACAATAATGATAATAATAATATCTTCAGTTCAATGTTCAATTTCTAAGTCAAATTTCTACTTTATAAACACTAAATAGTTTTACACAAAATAATTCCAATGAATTTTCCACAGAAAGTAAAGTAAACCTGTTTTTTTATTTAATTATTTCGAAATATACAAAACTGAACAACAATTTGGGGCAAGCGAGTAACAAAACACCAGATTATATATATATATACTATATGTATATATATATACATATATATATAAACTATATACACACATGAGAGAACTTTTTAGAGAAATATTTAATGGCGTAAAATTAGTCAAATATTAAATATGAAAACCAAGTCCAGTCCATTTTTGATGTTGTAGAAAAAAATAAAAACTAAACAAAAAACATTGTAGAACTTTACGAATTTAAATTAAAAATCGATCGATATAAATATATATATGTGTATGTGTGTATGGCCTGAAGATTTTCGAGTAATTTAGAGAGCAACCTATAGACCAGTCTAAATGTGCTTAGATATCGTCGAGATATTTATATATATATATATATATATATATATATGTATATGTAAATGTACTGCAAAAACCAAAAGTCAGTTAGTTTACTTTACCAACTATGGGACAAAAAAAAAGATATAAACAGAACTGGGGGAAACGATATGGGATATATAACGAAATCTGTTTCTTATGAGCGTATTTTATAGGGGTTCCAGGGCGGGTCCATAGTTGTTCTTTTTCCACAAACAATATCCAACCACGAAAGCCAGCCCCAAGATTGTATATAAACTAAAATTTAAACGCAATGAGAAATGAGAGCGAAATGCAAGCAAATTCCAAATAATAGAGAAAGCAAAAACTTAATTGTAAAAATACAAAATCCAAATCGAAATGCAGCAAAAATACAAACAACATTTTTTGTATAGAGAATATCCATAAAAAACAAAAAACGAAAAACAAAACAAAACAACAAAAAACAGTGGCAAATTAGCAACTTAAAACAAATTTATACACATAAAGCAAGAAGCAAGCAAAAAAGTAAATTAAAGATTAATGTTAAACACTAAAAACACTTTACTATATACGCTATATATATATGTAATCTGTATATGTACTATATATAACTATATATATATATATGCCTAGTTATACACACCAGAAAACTATGCTTAAAACTCCTAACTATTAAACAAAAATGCAAACAAAAAACGCAAAAACAAAAAACCCCACAAAAACAAACTAAAAGATGAAAGATGAAACCTCCCTAAGCAGAAAATTCAAGCAAAAAACCTACAAAACTGAAACAGAAAAAAATTATACACACGCATAAAAATAACGATAAAGATAATGCTAAAGATACGCGATTAATATTTAAGGCACTCTATACATACAAGCTACGCATAATGAATATTTATTTTATTTGTACATTTCATTATAATAAAATAAAACTGAGCAAAAGGATGATGATGATGAGGATGAAAGTGGAGGGGAGCAGCAGCAGCACCCCTCGGAAGAAGAACTTTATGTAATGTTTTTAGAATGTATGTTCCGTTAAAAACTACAAAATAAAAAAAATCATATAATACTAAAAAAAATATAACATATTGTGTGCTTATTTTCTGGGTTATTTCTGAATGATCTGATGGGGTTTTTGGGTTTGCAAAAATTACTTGAGTTACTTTGTTGATTTGTAAATTAAGTACTTTTATTTTTACAAAAACACCTTACAAAGTTTTTGTAAAAGTAGTACTTAATTTACTATTTTTTGTATATATCTTTAAATTTTAATTAGATAATAGAAATTTAAATTTATAAAAATACTAAATTCAAGTTATTTAATATATTTATTTAAAGTTCTTCCTGCATAACTCCATGTTAACCCCCACATATTGATCTTTGCAGCATCAACTCTGAAATGATCTTTATACTTTTTTTTCGCTCTTCGCATGTGTGTGCGTCTGTCTATCTGCCTGTGTGTGTGTGTGTTTGTGTGTGTGTGTAGTGGTGTGCCAAATGGCTATGGCAAACTAAAGCAGCTGTTTCCGGTATTTGATTGATAGTGAACTGGCAGTTTGTTTATCTCGCGCGCACACACGGACCGAGGCCCCGAGTTTTGTTCGCTTGCTCGGCTTCGGATTGGGATTCGGATTCAGATACGGATTGGGGCTGCCATAGCTCACACACACAGATACTTACGCACACTAACACCCAGACACACACACACACACTTATACACACATAGAGAGAGCAGAGCAGGGGCCAGCATCCAGCGGCTGCCTCTGCTTCTGCTGCATTTTGCGGATGCTATTTGGGGCCGCCGTTAATTTAAATTTAACTGCAAAATATTTTCACTCATTCTGGAAGGGAAGTAGGAAAAATATTTCCAGATCTCTGTCCTAGTCGCACCTCTCCCCCCAGCTTGTGGTTTCCGCCAAGCCCAAATAATGCAGTAAAAATATTCAAATAATTAACTTAAGGAAGCCGAAGTTAATATACCCTTTCAGTTTGTTAATTAATTATAGATATACTAGAAAATCGACAATAAGAAAGCTTAAACTAATCGACCATTTTTAAGAATATTTTTATATGACAAATTGTTGAAAAAATCAAAAATGTTCCTCTATATCTAACTATAGTTTGTACGGCAGCTATTATTATATAGTAGTCCGATTTTCATAAAGTTAAAACTAAAATTCTAGAATAATATAAAATGGCTATATTTCAAATTAGATGAAAATCTGTAGAAAAATGGAAATGGTAAAATATTTTTTCCTAAAATTGTCCGATCGTTTCTATAACAGCTATATATATGTATGTATATATATAGTCCACCGATTCACCATGCTCCGACTTATATACAAGTAAAATTATATAGAAGAATAACTCTATAGTTTCATTCAAATAGCTTAAATTTGTTCCAAAACAAATCTCGCACATCTGTGCATATGATTCCCAACAGGTTCTAACATCCCCGGAACGAAGTGACTTCTGCCGGGCATGTCTCAGATATGTTTTGTGTTAGAAAAGTTGCAAGTCATTGTTTATTTATGTTCAAAGTTAGTAAGTGATCATACATACTTACTGGTCATAGATACTTACTGATCATAGTTACTTACTTCTGATAGTTACTTAATGCTTATTGATACTTACTGATCACAGATACTTACTGGTCATAGATACTTACTGTTCAGAGTTACTTACTGCTCATAGATACTTACTGCTCATAGTTAATTACTGGACATAGATACTTACTGTCCAGAGTAAATTACTGATCATAGTTACTTCTTGATTATAGTTACTTACTGATTATAGTTACTTACGGATCATAGTTACATTCTGGGCATAGATACTTATTGATCATAGTTACCCACTGATTATAGTTACTTACTGGCAAATAGTGACCCAAGAACAATGACTTTAATCTAAGTAGGAAGTAGTACTAATTTTTACCCCCACACCTGAAGCTTGGGGGTTAAGTTAGCACGTGCAAAATTGTGTCAGCTGAGCGCACTCTTTGCGATTTTCGTTTGCTTTGTTTGCCCCGTTTTGTTAATTAATGCAAAGTGCAGTAACCGTTTTGCATAATTGAAGGCAGCGACTGCTCCGACTGGTGACTGCTGACTGCCCATTGGGGCATTTCATTATTCAATCATAATTCGCGCGCTCAAACGCGAATTACAAACAGTTGAGTCCGGAGACTGAGGCTGTAGAGTGTGTGTGTGTGTGTGTGTGTGTGTGTGGGGTGTGTGTTGTATTGAGTGTGTGGTGGTGCATGTTTCTGGCCAGTGATAACCCAATGGATCGACCGGGGTCTGCTCCCGGGGTCACTTCAGGCCTTGCAAAAAAAGAAAACACAACGCAACAACACACACATGAAAAAAATTAAAAGAGAATGAAACCGAAATAAAATAAAAGCAAATAAAACATGACAGTTTTTTTTTTTTATTTTATTTATTATTTTATTTTTTTTTTTTATTATACTACTAGAGGGGGAGGGACAGACTTGGAACCGAGACTATGACTATTCCCCGATAAGCCTTGCTGCACGAGACTTGCCAATTCGCTTCAAACTCGCTCCGATTGACACACTTTGAGTGGAGAATGCACAGCAAAAAAATGTGTAACCTTTTTATAAATTAAATTCTACTTATCATACAATAATTAAATATATGGGGTATCTGGGAAACTCTAAAAGAATACTATATAAACACCATAGCTTGGAATCTCTAAAGAAGTATCAACATACTTTGAATTTGAGCACAGTAATTACTCTACTTTAGTTTCGAATAATTTTAAATAGATATTTAATATGAAGATTATTAAAATATAAATATAACAACAAATATTCAATAAATTGATTAAATAAAATCAACAATATTTCAAATTTATGAACCTCTAATAAACCAATTATAAAATAGACCTTAAATAGGTTGCAGCAATTCTTTATTCTTTCCCTTTTTTACCACACTAAACTCACTATGAAGTGCATTTTCTTCAAGCGAAATTCTACAAATTTCTCTCACTTAATTTCTTCCAAATTTTTTCTCTCTGTGCAGCGAATGAATGAAGCAGCGACAGCACTGAACTCGAACTCGAATAAGCAGACGCAAGATGCACTGCCTCTGATTGAAGTGTGCTATATTTAACGAGCTGGCTGATTGCGTGCAATGTAAGTCTGCCAATTCTTTCT